TACAATATTTAGTTAACTGTTGCTGTCATTGTTATGAGTGGATTTCCAATTGAATACTGCATTTTAATGACATAAATTTACAATATTAGTGACAATTTTAGGAAAAAATGGCGGCCATTTTGAAACGGCTGGCATCCCCCCTTACGTATGGAAAAAAAATGTTGCACATACTTTTTTGATTTATCTATGTCTATTCTACATCATATCCAATTTTTTTTTTAAATATAGCAAAAAAAAATGCAACCAACCAAAGTTTGCCGTTTTTGCACTATTTAGGAAAATGTATCTGCAGTGTACCTCAAACATATTTCACTCTTTAAGAGCCAGTATAAAGTGACAGTCATGTGTTATTAATATTATTAATATTTTACAGTAGTAACGTAATTAGTCATAATGAATGTATAACCAATTTGGTGTCATGTTATTGATATAGTATCACTTTCTGTGAGTAACTTGACATGGCCTGGAAAACCAATACATTTTTATAGTAGGCGTAAGTCATATATCTTTCTTTTTTAAGAATGTGAACCTGGAATGTATGGAAACGGCTGTCTGCAGGAGTGTCATTGCGATGATGACAGTTGCGATCATTCGTATGGCTGTAATATCGCTGCCCAATGCCATGAAGGTTTTGTGGGGGAAAGATGCCTAAGTAAGTTTTTGTTCTGCTGTTGAAAATAAACAGTTCTGTGTGCTAGTTGTGCTTACATTTATCCATCAAACGTGTAAAGGCAAAGGTAGTCAAAACGGTATAGTCCAGCGTGCCCATCTAGTTTTTATTTCTGTTTAGGACGGACTGTGCAATTAATGACGTGAAGTACTATTTAAAATCTTCAGAAGTGATTAGCATAATTAAAAACAGTACCTTACATGTAGATGCTTAATTGATTTTTAAAAATTAAAAAAATATTAGAAAGAAATGTAGATGTAAAGCAAATAATAGAGGAAATTAAATTAACTAGTGACAATTATATAAAGCGTTTTTAATTAATAGTGCAACATAATTTTTAACTGTCTTTTTTTATATAAATCTCAATGTCAGCTATGAAACCCGTTTTTACCAAATATATTACAAAAAAGCACTCGAAATAATAACTATAGGCCTATATAAAAATAGGTAAATATTGTAAATAGTGCAGTTTTTTAATTAGCAATTAATAAAGTGCCAATATGGATTTAAATAAAGTATAAATAATAATAAATATTGACTAAAAAGAGATTCAGAATTAAATCAGAAAATTACAAACCAAATTTTGATGTTAGCCACGTCAACTAAAATAAGTGGTGTGAAGCTTTGCTTATGCCTACTCTAAATGCACCGTGTGCTACTTTCAACCCCCTTAAATCTGAAATTTTATAAATACAATTAACTAACATCGCAACGAAAATTATTTAAAAACATTTTCAAACAAATTATTGTATTACCATTATTCTTTAATAATATTACTCTTAAACAGCTCCTATTATAGAAGAATGCGAAGCTGGATATTATGGTGAATTTTGCAACCTGGAGTGTCACTGTGCAGACGCTGATCCTTGTAATAAATACAACGCAAGTTGCCCAGGAAATTGCACATACGGTTGGGCTGGAAGTTACTGTCTTATAGGTAAGCTTATTGTAATATTTTATAAAAACGTTAATTGTCATTATAAACTGGCATCAACGAGCGGCAGATATTTTGTACAGTGATAAAGCATTAAAAATAAACAAGAAAAAGACGAAAATTATGCTCAATGCTTACGCGAAAGCTAAACCAATCAAAATCAATAATGAAATCATTGAAACAACTGACAAATATGTATATTTGGGACAACTTGTGAAAATGGATTATAGCCACCTAGAAGAAATAAAAAAAACCCAAGCTGGGTGGAGTGCTTTTGGAAAATTAAACATCATCATGAAAAGTAACATACCGCTATGCCTTAAACGTAGAGTATTCAATCAGTGCATACTACCTTCTATGACCTACGGAGCAGAGACATGGGCAATGACAAAGAAGATGGAACAAAAACTAAATGCAACACAAAGAAGTATGGAAAGGTGTATGTTGGGAATCACCAAGTCAGACAGGAAAACTATAAAATGGATCAGAGAGTAAACAAAAGTTAATGATGTTATGCAATTAGTACAAAACAAGAAATGGAGATGGGCAGGGCACCTCACCAGAACAAATGACAGAACAGAATATGGAAGAAGCTAACAACTGAATGGACTCCCCGAATAGGCACACGAGGTCGAGGAAGACCTAAAATCAGTTGGGATGAGATAGTGAGATTTGCCGGAATTTCCTGGATGAGAGCTGCACAGGACAGACGTGGATGGTTTCAGCTTGGGGAGGCCTTCGCCATGCAGTGGGGCAAAAACGGCTGAAATGATGATAAAGCATAACTTCCAAGTTATAAAACATTTCTACGATATGTGTTAGCTAACTCCGGTTAGAGTTATATACTATATACTATATAAAGATGTCTTAATTGAATTTGTTCTATTGTTTGATTTCCAGCACTTCCTGCATTGTACGACGCGCCCTCTATTGAAGGCAATGCTTCAAATATCATAGTAGTTTGGACAGCTTGGAACCAAGACCATGATTTCGGTAACAGAGATGCTAACAGCTATGTATTGAAATACTGGAAGACGGCATCAATGGATGAAGGAATAACTATTGATAACATAGCAGAAAATCAGACAGAAATCAGCATTTCGTTGATAGATTACAATCAATCTTACAGTGTGACTGTGTCAGTAAATACTGATATTGACGGCGTGTTCACACAAGGAATTGCTAGTCCAGTCACGGAATTTGGTCCCATTGGTAGATAGCACCATTACAATCTTTTTTTAGTCGTTATGACTAATGTTTGTGTTAAATCAGTATCATAACTATATTTGGAATGATGTATTGGCACAATTGTTATAATATGCATTATTTCAAGCCTAATTTAAAAAAAAACTAAGAAATTATGGATTGGGAGTTGTCATCGCAGGATAGAACACTGTTTTCATCGAACGACCTTGACAATAAATTTTACACCTTTAACCCACCTTGTCAGAAACAAGAATTTTCCCCTGGACTATCTTGATTGGCCTTGTAGGGCCTAAAATAATGACTAAGCCCAATATTTGCACTGTACTTTAATAGTAACCATATAGTGGCGTATTAAGTAAATTAAATTTTGAGGAGCTCAGAGAGGGATACAGATGCAAACAAAAAAATTCTCAGTCCTACGTTTGTTCGGGCTGGGGATTAAAATCGTATAAGTATGACATGTGTCCATGGGTGGAAAAGGCGATCTCAAAATTGTAATTGCGTCCCGACCCAATTACTAATTACATAATTTATGTGAATTATTATCTAACTGTTGTATATATTATGTTTCGATCTATCAAAAGTAAAGAAGAAGATGATGATGTATGAGAGCGATGGTGATGACTGTAAAGTAAAGATGATGATGACAATGATAATTATTATAGTTATAATAATTATAAGTAGCCTATATAAGAAAAACAAAACATGTTTGTCTAGGTCCTAATCTTTTTAAACGTGCACTCAAGACTTACTTGTTTGCCTAAGTTTCTTTTTGCTGCTTTTCCTTTGTGTTTTTATTGTTGTAATCTGTTTATTTGTCTTGTGACTGTACTATTGTGATGCTTCGGGTTCCTGAATAATGATTGAGTTTATGCCTTCCATTGCCGACCTTGTATGATAAGCTGGAACGGTCACTTCTGAAAAATATGGTTTTAAAAAAAAGAAAAATAATTTGGCTCCTTGATTGATTTTACACAATTTGATTTTTTAAAATTTATTTATTATAACATAGGCCTATCTAAAGAAGGTTACTCTTACAGCACAAAGCTGACCAGAAGAGGCCCTCTAACAGTACAATAATACTAAAAAAAAAGGGCACATAAAACAAACAGGAAAATAAAATTCTTAATAAGTAAGGACACCATGACAACAGAGAGTAAAAGAAGTAGTACTACAGTACATTCATAGTAATAGTTTTAAAAATTAGTAGTAAAAAAGATATATATATATATATATATATATATATATATCATTTCAAAAGATTTTTGTTGTTATAATACAGTATAAATATCGTCACCGACACCCCAAAGGAACACAAACTTAAAAGAAAATCATATTTTTTTTCCATTTTTGATTTGACATTTTGAACATTGAACTCTACCCTTTCACATAGTAGTTAAGATTGCAACTACAATAATAGTATAGTTAAAATCAAAGCCCCGTGACCATTAATTAGGGACCAAGGTTTCTCTACTTATTTAGCATCACTAGGGTATAAATAAAATAATTGAGGGAGAGGAGGAGGAACATTTTTAAAATAGCCGCCAAAAAAGTGTTCCGCCCTTTTTAAGAAGGTAGGCCTACCCCCGCTCACTATTTTTATTCATACATTAGTGCTTCTAAATTAGTAGAGAAACATTGGTCCCCGAAAAAATGGTCACATGGGCCCTCATTTTCACTAGTTAATTAGACTAATTAGCCATAGCGCACAAACTGAGAAAATAGGTTTTTCATTTTCACGAACAAACACTCTTTCAAAGGGTTATCAGAAGACGCGCGTGCGGTTTTGTAATCATTGTGATCGGCTTGATAAGGCCTGACTGGGGTAGGGCTATACGTAAACGTTAGATTCCCTAACTTTCATAAATATAAACATAGCGGTATAGGCCTAGGCCTACTTCTTGCAGTAGGCCTATAATTTGGACTAGGCCTATATACATGCAAGTGTGAAATTATTAGTAAAAACTTAATGCTTTAAGCAGGATAAGACTTGTTTGACTACGGGAAAACATAGGCTAAAACACAGTATGTCTGCCAACAGAGCGCGTACAACACGTAAAATGAGATTTTCGTTTTCACGAAGAGACACAAACTTCGCTGTACGTGTAAACAACCTACGCTGGGTTTATTTTATCGTTTTCATGAACAGAGACGTCAAACGTTTCACCTAACAGGTTAAATAAAGTTAAGAAAAGAAAAATAAATTAAACATTTGAATTGTTTAATGATTTATCTTTAAACATATGTAACAAAAAATATTTAAAATGTCGATATCTTGATAGTGAAAATTACGGTTTTGTGAAGTAATCTACTCCAAACGCGTTTTTCTCAAAACGATGTTTTGGTCAAAATTGAAGTATGTGTCTCTTTGTGAAAACGGTGACGATATCAATATGTAGAGAATTAGAAAAAGGTGCACACCCAATAAAAAAAATCGTCGTACAAATATATTAAAAAGAGAAGAGGACCCATAAGGGATCCCTGGGGAACTCGAAGGCCCTTAGTACTGGAGTCTACTGAGAAAGAAAATCGCAGCATTTTTACTCTTGACTATTGAATTAAATGCCCAAAAGTAATCTATCATGACAGCTCCTAGAACATGTTTTTGTCTTATGCCAGCCTGGCTTCATTTATCAATTTAACTAGTAAATCCTGGACCGAATGGACAGGTCGAACGCCAAACTGACAGGACAGAAATATGAGTGTTGATCAAGAAAGTTAAAGGTTTGTTCATAGATGATTCTCTCGTAGAATTTGGCAATCATGGGCATGATTGAAATTGGTCTATGGTAGTTGCTTATATCGGTATACAAACCCCCTTTGTGAATAGGTCGAATAACTGCTGTCTTCTTTAATTCCAAAGGAAAACACGGGTAGCGCACAGAATAAAAATAAAGGAAAGGTAGATATAAAGCAGAGACCATCAGGTTGAGATGACTTTGTTCGATGTGAGAATGTTTGAAACCTTGTCCGAAGTAGTTGGAAGAAATTCCGATAGACGATTGAGAGTATCAGGAAGCTTCGATAAAGCGGAGGCGTCAATATGTTTAACAGGAAATAAGAAAGAAAGCAGTAGAAGCAGGAAAAATGGTTGGAGGCGTTAGCAATAGATCCACAGTTGGCAGAGTCCGTTGACGTTTATGGATTTACAGTAGTTTGTTCTCTTGCTTTGACGCCCGATAATCTTACCAAGATGTTGCCAGAACTTGGCAGGATTTTTCTTTGATCTATGACATATACTGTTTATGAATTCAACTTTATTATTACTAGTTAATGAGGGGACTATCCTTAATTATTTATATTTCAGTCAATCAATTTGATTTATTTTTCTTTACTAAGAAGTCGCTTGCGGTATCTGATTAAGCCCTTAATTTCGAAATTGATGAATTGATCTACGGTTCGGTGTTCTTTTTAGGTCTAAACGTCTTATTTGCATAATGTTTGTCCATTCACACCATATTTCGTTAATATCGACCAGATTAGCCAGATTGGTCCAGAGAGATGATTTTGTAGGTATGTAGGTACTGTAGGTATGAGTGCATAATACATACATCTTCCAAAAGGTTTTGCCCATTGGAAGCCATAAACAATGTGTATCATTATAAATCATTTGGCTTATCTATAGAGACGCGTCTCTGAAGTTTAATGTTGGCCTTCTTATTCACTCTTTCTTAACGCTGTTCATTAACCCTCACTGCAATATTTCACCGAACCTATTTTTTCTAATCACACTTGCATGACTCACTTTATGCTATCTGACTTTTTCTACTTTCACTCACTCGCCACTGAGTAAGGACTATTGTTGATTAAAGCTCTTCATAGATACAGCCATTATCTCCCATAGCAGTGTATAAGAGACAGGAGTTAGCTCAGTGGTTAAGATGCTTACAGCAAAACACCGAACTATTACAACCAGTATCGGTGAAACGCTTGAACTGATAATGAGAGTTGATGGTGTTGAAATTAGCAGCTTACGATGGAAAAAAGATGGAGGATCCAATATAATGGAATGGGACGGTCTCAGCAATGTTACCGTTGAAAATGTTCGGAAAAAAGACGCTGGTATCTACGAATGCTACCCGGAAGGACAACGAGATCAGGGTCAACACGCTATTGTACGAGTACTTGTTCGAGGTAAATTTGATTAAAAACAAGCACAATTGTTTATTGTATTCTAGATTTATTTATGCTTGATGTTTTAGTTATCGGTGTGTGACACTGTCTTCAAAAAATGTTGCCTTTTTAAAAATTAATTGTGTACATAATAATGTTATTTGCGAAGTTATTAGCTTGCATTCCACACAATTTTTCTATCTCACATTTAACACTTCAACAATGTTTGGTAGATTTATTAGTAGATAGAGAAACAGAAGGCCTATTTATTTTTAAAAACAATTGTTTTGATGCATGCGTTCTTGGAACACTTTTGTATGGTAGAGAAACATAGACATCATAGAACTACTTTTGTCTTCAATGATGTCTGTGCAACAACATGAATAACATGAAATGCAAGACAGGATATCGTATATCACAATTCTTTTAAAATTTTAACTCTACAAACATCTCTACAACAATCGCATGAATGGCATAACTTCCCAGGCAGTCATTGTATGGTGAACAACTTGACTGACGAAATCGTAAGGCAAAATTTAAGATTTAAAAATTTAGTGAAAATAAATTTTCGGTATCAGTACAGCAAATTGGAAAGACACCGTCAAAGTCGGAGCAATGGAAAGCGGCCTTCATTGCCCCCTCAATGCATACACGTAACAATTTAATTAAAAACTGGTAAATTCAAAGGAAAAAGATCTGGCCCAAACAAACCTGGCAATGCCACATTAAGGTGCATTTACACCAATTTTGAATTTTGGGATCAGAAGGCTTACGGAACCGATTTGAAAAGCGAATCAGTTTGTAAGAAGAGGGACGATGGCGTTCAGCGCTTCGGAACGCGGCCTGATTTCAATCGGTTTGGATCTGATGTGAATGCAGGTTTAATCTGTAGATGACTGTCTGTCTTCATTTAGCCTATATCACCGAAAAAATGCAAAAAATATTATTATTATTATTATTATTATTATTATTATTATTATTATTATTATTATTATTATTATTATTATTACTATTACTATTATTATTATTACTATTACTATTATTATTATTATTATTATTACTATTATTATTACTACTACTACTACTATTATTATTATTATTATTATTATTTTATCATTATTTTGTGACTGTTTTCCAAATTTTGTATGTAATTTTGTATTTGTAAATTATCATTCTTTATTATTTTCTCCTATTTAAGTTAGACGTAGAAGGTTTGTTTGCGTCAATGATGTATTCTATTTCTCCAAATTTTGTTGATTGTATTTAATCGTTAAACTGTTTTTTTTTCCTTTTGTATAATTTTATAAATTTAAGCCCCTCTGTTTTTACAACCAAATTGAGTTTCTTTTAGGGTTTTATTTTTACATTTTTCTATATTATTTATAGCAATTTATACGAAGAATATTGTTTATATTATTTTTATTATTATTATTATTATTATTATTATTATTATTATTATTATTATTATTATTATTATTATTATAATTATTATAATTATTATAATAATTATTATTATTTTTATTATTATTATTATTTTTATTGGTGTCTTTTTTTTTGCTGTTGCTGTAGCCGCTGATGCTTCTGCTGCTTCTGTCGTTGTTTTTGCTGTTGTTGTTAATGATGATCAACTTATAGAGCACTATGGAGACCTCTATACGCTGTTATTGTTGCTGTTATAATAATATTCCATTCTGTTTATGATTTGGTTTTTGCTTCAATATATATATATATGTTTAGGCTGTTTATTCTAATCTCACCCAGCCTATTGTTTCCAATCATGCTTGCATGAAATTCTCACTTTATACAATCTAGCTTTTTCTACCCTCACTCACTCGCCACTGAGGAAGGACTAGTGTTGTTATTATTATTATTATTATTATTATTATTATTATTATTATTATTTATATAATTTTGCTTTCTAATCAATCGACAGAATGCCCTCAAGGAAAGTGGCTGCATCCTAATTGTGAAATCAATTGCCCTATATGCTATAATGGAGGCGTGTGTTCTGATCAATTCGGATCTTGCATCTGTCCGCCGGGCTTCACCGGAGATAACTGTGAAGAAGGTAGGTATAATATTATTCGTTCTCATGGGGAAAATACGACAATGTACAACAGTAAAACACAACATTATCCAATAATATGATAAATATTTATTAGAGACTAAACTTTCAATGATATATTTATCGAGATACCACAATTTTACCGATATACAATATTTTATATAAATATACTGTGTTTATACTATACACTAAAGCATTTTTATGTGTTTTTTAATTCCAATTTTTAACTGGTATTACTATTAGACGTAACTTAAATGCATAAATGCAAGAACTGTAGATGTGACCGTCTCTGGCAAAACCTTTTTATTGTCGGCATTTTCAAGCTATCAGCCAAACAGTAGAAAATTAAAGTTAATTAAAATTGTAGGCATATTAAATTAAGTTTGAAATACATACTATTTATTAAACCTCTGAATTACATGTCTTTTTAAAGGCGTTTTTTTTTTCAAAACCTACATACAATATATTAAATGTTACTGTTAAAGATTATATGTGCATAAACATACAATTTTAAGTGTACTGATAAAGTAGAGTTGGTCACAAATATGTAGGCCTAGCAGATGTCAACGAATAAGAAGGGATCTCACTTAATAACATTCTCGATTTACTTTTCATAGCGTGTGGTTATAACAACTGGGGGCGTGAATGCAATATAATTTGCAGCTCAAGTAAGCGAGGTTGTCCAAATGTCATGTTTTGTCTACCTGACCCTTTCGGTTGTTCATGTATGTCCGGATATGGTGACACTGATTGTAGCCAAGGTAACTTTCAACGCATTGATTTGCATCTTTGTCTATGTGATATTTTTTCAATCTATTATTATTAATTTGTACCAAATATAATAAATAAATCTAAACAGTACTTTTCACACATTGTCATCAATCAATAATCAATCGATTGATCGATCGAGCAACAGATCGACCAATTAATCAACCGACCAAACCACCAATCGACCAACTGACAACGAGCTGACCAACCGATCAACCGCTAATCAACCAGTTAACAAATTAATATATCGATTGATCATCGTTTGATCAATCGACTCATTGAACAATCGATCAATTGATCAATACTCCAGCCGATTAAGTTGTAGTTAGGTTTAAAGAAACCAGAGAAAATTAGTTTATTATAGTTTAATTAGAATAAATACAGTTTAATATATTTTATATTTTACACGTTCAATAAATAAAACAAGAAATAATTAAGAAAAGCTATCAAAAGCAGTTAGTTAAAATTTCAGATATTTTATATGTTCCAACAATTAATATAACAAATTATACAATATTATTATCCGCCTTTGCTGTCCTGAATTGAATAAAAATAAAATTCAGTTATGATATACAATCCAACTACTATTTATAGCACAATTTAAACAAAATCAGTTTCGGGAATTAGCCTAGTAGTACATCCAACCATGGACCTATTAATTTAATAGGTCCATGATCCAACTATTTACGTCTTTAATTAATTGTAGATTTTACTCTTTCAATACAGTGTGTGCCTACAGCTTGAATTTGTGGTACTATTTTGCGTGTCTTACCAGGGAGTTGTTATAGGCATTAAAATATTTTGCAACATTGTCCAGATTTTGTGGTAACATTTTACATGAAAATGCTAATTGAACTGTTTTACATATTTTGGTCAGTATAGTACGCTAATGATTAGATTTTTCTTTCGATTTACTGATCCAAAATCTATATCTATATCTATATCT